GTGGCTTCTTTACCAGCTGAGCTATCAGGGAGGCCCATGTTCAGGGAGACAGGTAGTTATTCTTGAACCTTATTTTACAGAAGAAGAGATGGAGATCTTAGACAGATAAACTTCCCAGTGTCATGAGGGAAGAAACAGGCATCAAACCTAATCTGGGACTTCCCTGGTGGTCCAGTGGGTAAGACCGCACGCCTCCAATGCAGCAGGCACGAGATTGGTCCCTGGTTTGGGAACTAAGAGCCCACGAACCTTGTCAGANATTGGTCCCTGGTTTGGGAACTAAGAGCCCACGAACCTTGTCAGACAGCCAAAAAACAAAACCCAGACCTGTCTGCCTGTACCCCATGCCCTTGGCCACTACACAATAGAGTCGCCCCTTTACCATTTATTCATTTAGAATGGGAAAAACATGTCCACAGTACAAAAACCACAGAGGAAGTCACACATTCCTGACTCGATAAAGTTTGGCAACGCGTTTCCTCAGAGGTTAGCAGTGTTCCCAATTATTGTGTCTCCTTCCAGAAATATTCCAGGCCTTTTGCCTGTTTACTTTTAAAAGCATCAGTTTAGAGTGCCTGCTCCCTAACATATTCAACTTGACTTTCATAATTTCTCTTTTAACTTGAAAAATTTTGTATCATGAAACCCATGGTAAATGAAATGTACTCCTTCTGATTTTAAGACATAATAGAGTAATAAATTAAGCAGTTTTTCAAGACTTCTAAACACGAGTTAAAACAAAGTGACATAAAATGTAGCTGGCTTCTCCATCCTGGAAAAGTAATGAAAAGTTATTTGGAGAAACTTTTCAAATTTCAAGGCCTGAGATATGTCAAATGTGAATACAAAAACAGAACATACCGCCTGTAGCTTTATTAACTTGTAACCTGGTGCCATTTTTTCTTCAGATAGTTTTGTAAAGAAATAAAACCTTATTGCTTCAATTGAGAATGACTGTGTTGCCATCCTCTGTTATACACGCCTGCCTCCTGAGAGTAATCATAATCATGAAATCAGTACAGACCATATTCATCTATTTTTTTTTCAACTTTTAGTACCCCAAGTCAATCTCCCAAATTTTCTAGACTGCACTGTCCAATGCAGGACCCACTATCCACACGTGGCTATTGGACATATAGAAGGCAGCCAGTCTAAACTGAGATGTACGATAGGTAGAAAACACACACCAGATCCCAAAGAACTGGTACAAAATATAAAATATCTCTTATTGATTATCTATTGAAGTGATAATGTGTTGGATATGCAAGTTAAAGAAAGTATATTATCAAAATTAATCTCACCTCTTTTAAACCTTTTAAGTGGTGGTTACGATAAAATTTTAAATTATGAATACGGCTTGCATTAGTTTCTAGTTGGATAATGTTGGTCAGAGGTGCTCACCAGGGGACTCTTTGGTAAAGGGGAAGTTATCTCATTGATATTTTATATTAACCTGGTTTTGCATGTACTCAGACTTGCCTAAAATGAGGACTATTTGCATTTGTGTCTGTAAACACTGGCCTGTTGAAATGTTCCAGGAATGATATCTAAAATCCTCTACTCCTCCCACACAGCAGGAATAGCACAAGATAGATTTCTCCTCTCACTTCCAGCCACTGGATGATGAAATCCTGAATTGTTTTCATTGAAGGGACCTTCTAGAACTACCCACCCCTTTCTTCTGTATACCACTGAAAGCTGAGGCCAGGCAGGTGGGGCCCTGGGTGCCTGGGGTCTTGTTAGACCCCACTAACGAGAAGGCTAGAACCGTGGTCTCCTCAGACTTCAAACTGCCTTCCTGGAAAAGTGATCTTCCTTTTCTGTTATAGCAATTTCAGATGCTCTTTCTTTTTCTTTTCTTTTTTTTTTTGCTTTAAAAGGCACTTACTTTTTTATTTTTATTTTTTCATTTATTTTTATTAGTTGGAGGCTAATTACTTTACAATATTGTAGTGGTTTTTGCCATACATTGACATGAATCAGCCATGGATTTACATGTGTTCCCCATCCCGATCCCCCTCCCTCCTCCCTCTCCATCCCATCCCTCTGGGTCTTCCCAGTGCACCAGGCCTGAGCACTTGTCTCATGCATCCAACCTGGGCTGGTGATCTGTTTCACCCTTGACAGTATACTTGTTTCAATGCGATTCTCTCAGAACATCCCACCCTCGCCTTCTCCCACAGAGCCTAAAAGTCTGTTCTGTACATCTGTGTCTCTTTTTCTGTTTTGCATATTGGGTTATCTTTACCATCAGATGCTCTTTCACTTTGAACAGTCAATAGTTTCATGATTCCTGACTCAAGACCAGAAAGAAAAAAAAAGGGAAAAAGATATTTTTCCTTATCTGTCACTTTATTTCTGTGAGAGAATCAATGTCACCCAAAGAGAAATTTGTAAACGACAAATTCAATCTGTTGCTAAGTGCATCTGATGCTGGTGGCAATGTGCCGTGTCTGTGTGTGTGTCTGTGTGTGCATGTGTGTGTGTGTGTGTGTGTGTGTGTGTGTGTGTATTTGAAGAAGTAGCAGGTACAAGACACTGGCCTGGGAAGGAGACTCCAGTTCATTTTTTTTTTTTTTTTAACTATAGTTGCTGTACAATGTTAAATAAGTTACAGATGTATAATACAGTGATTCACAGTTCTTAAAGGTTATACTCCATTTATAATTATTATAGAATATTGGTTCTATGCCCCGTGATGTCCAATACAGCCTCATAACATATTTTATACCTAACAATGTATACCTAATAAGTTTGTACCTCTTATTCTCCACCACTATGCTACCCCTCCCCCTGAGACCCCAGACTTAGTCTAGCTTGGCCACCTTCTACATATGTGACTTCAGAAAGTGACAAGAATATGGCTTTTGGAACCAAACCACCATAGACTAATCCCAGTCCCACCACCTCACTCTTTGTTTGACTTAGAGCAATTAGCTTCATTTCTACCAGTCTCAGCTTCCTGTCTGGAAAACCTAGATTAATCACACCCACCTCACAGGTTTGTTGAGAAGATTAAGTGAGATAGCGCATCTAAGATTCTAATTTCCCACAAGTGCCACCTGGGAAGCTTGCAAATTACCATATATACCCAGGGAAAAAATAGCTTTATTGCTTTGCTAGGCCAAAGGGGACACAGCAGGTTTGTGCTCTGAAAAACTGTATGTTCCAACTCAGGAGGATTTGGTGAGGAGTTGTATAGCAATGGTTCAAGAGCAGTGTTGCTGATCAGGATCAGGGTGTGTGCAGGGCCTGCACTTCTTTAATCTGGTCTCAAGTGGTCTCCTGATGAGTTTCTTAAAGCTATCAAACTGTGATTTTCTCTGAAATGCAGAATGCTAACATCTTCCATTTGTTGGGGGCTTTAATTCTGTAAAGAGCCCAAAGAGATCACTCTGTGTATCCCTAAGACAGAGCCAGGAACCTGCCCCAAGGCTGCACTATTGTTTCTTAGCCATTCTTCCCATGTCTCTGCATCGCCTTTCTTCCCTTATTACCAACTGTTCGAATCTGCCTTTTGGGATTCTGGGAAGGTCATGGAGGCTGCAGTCTGTTCCCTACAAACAATAAACAGGGGATATGGCAAAGCTTCCATGCCCAGGAGTCCCATAGGGTCCTGTTGAGTTTTTACATGAAGGAGAAAATGGTCAGTTCTACAGGCAGATACAGTCCATGGAACCAGAGTTCAGTCTTGGAAAGTTGTATCCAAAGTATATTAATACATAATATGATATATGATATGAATATGAATCCAAGCTAAATAGATTACATAGATTCCAGTTCCTTAGGCACAATTAGATCCTCTCTACCCTCTAATCCCACCCTCAAACCCTCAAATATGCACTGTGAAAAGACTGATACTAATACAAGAAACAGGAAAAAGGAAGTATCTGACGTTTAACTTATGTTACCATGTCTAATTTAAGTAGGCTTTATCATGCATATTTTATAGATGAGAAGCTAAGACCCTGAGGCTACGTTCATTATGCAGATTCATCACACTGGGAAAAGTAGCATTGCTGAGATTTGAGCTTGAGCCTGCTGACTTTTAAACTCTTGTGCTTTGCACTACACCTTCATGTCCCAATGCAATGGAGCTGATAATTTTCCATCTCTAATTTCAAAATTGTTAATGTTTCCAGGTTACTCTCTAATTACTGTTTAGAATGGATATTGTATCTCTACGCCTAAATTCTTTCATCTTTAAGAGGGGCCTAGATGGGCTCCAAGATTGTTTCTGCATTTTATATTCTATAGTCTATCTTGATTTTATAATTAGAAAAAAAGGCACTAGTACAATCCATTTTTCACTAATTAATCTCTGTTATATAAAAATATTTGAAAGAACTGAAATTGTTGGGCTTGTCAAAGGAGAGAAAACTAGCAGCAGGTGGAAGGGGTGGGGAAATGTCAAACAGAAAGTATTTTTGCGTAACATAAAAAATATCTTCAGATATTTTAAAGATTGCTACCTGATGGAAGAGAAGTTGGACTTAATCCCTTTTTTAACTCAAGGGATATAATTAGGATTGATGAGGAAATATCCTAGATTTCCACCCTTTCTCATAAGCAAAACTTGCCTGCCACATAAGGTCCCATGATGACTTAGATTCAGCAAAATGACTGGACCAGAAAACTTAAGATTACTTCCTATTCTAAGAGTCTTTGATTCTGTAATAGACTGGTCTTCCATATTAACCCTGTGAAGGACAGTCTATTTTTAACAAAGTTAAAAACTCTGGTTCAAAGCTATAAAACCATAACTAGTATATGAGTCCTCAGTGAATAGGAGAAAAATATATGGGGATGCAGGTGGAGAAGGGAACGTGAGACATCAAAATTCATTCTAGGAGACCCCACAGGCCCCATTTCCAGTAAAGACTGGCTTCTGCCCCAGGACTTCCCCATATTCATCGCATCAGTGATGGGACAGTCAGGAGTGTTGCACGTAACCTCTGAACACCTTGAGAATGCCACCTGTCTCTCTCCTTCTCTTTCAGATGTTCACCTCCACAATATTTGCAATCATTGGAGTCCTGGGTGCTGGATACTCCTTTATCGTTTCGGCCGTCTCAATCAACAGGGGTCCAAAATGTCTCATCAGCCAAAACAACACGTGGGGCTACCCCTTCCACGAAGGGTAAGGCACACCCTGCAATGCCAGCGTGTCACCACCGGGGGGCACCCTGACGTGAGCGCCCGGGGCAGGGCGCGGGGGCGCCGTGTAAGGTCCTGCATCTTCAGTTTACGAGCCTCGGGCGTGGGGCTCCTTTGAGGCAGAGCGGCAGTCCTGCAGTCAAATTCAAGATCTCACCTCTCAGTGATCTTGTGATAGACACCAGAGGAAGCAATCAAAGAAGGTACCTCATGTGTTCCATCCCTGGGGCGGGAAGATCCGCTGGAGGAGGGCATGGCAACCCTTTCCGGTATTCTGACCTGGAGAAGGCCGTGGACAGAGGAGCCTGGTGCGTTAGTCCATGGGGTCGCAGGGAGTCAGACACGACTGAAGCGACTTGGCACTTACTCACTACGCCGTCCTGAGGGAAGAGGTTGGTGGTACCACCTCTTGCACTCAAACATTCATTAGCATCAACACGAGGCGACTTAAAACATTAATAAACAGAGAGCATTGTTTGAAAATCTTATAATAGAAAACGAGAATGATTACTCGTAAACGGAGCTCAAAGGCCTTGACTGGTACTCATAAACAGGGTGTAAAGACCTTCACTGATCGCCTGCATGATAAATACTTAATCTTTTTTTTTTCCATTTATTTTTATTAGTTGGAGGCTAATTAGTTTACATCATTGCAGTGGTTTTTGTCATACATTGAAATGAATTAGCCATGGATTTACATGTATTCCCCATCCCGGTCCCCCCTCCCACCTCCCTCTCCACCCGATCCCTCTGGGTCTTCCCAGTTCACCAGGTCCGAGCACTTGTCTCATGCATCCAACCTGAGCTGGTGATCTGTTTCACCCTAGATAATATACATGTTTCGATGCTGTTCTCTTGAAACATCCCACCCTCGCCTTAAGGTGCAAATTTACTGAAAACATTGTAGGTTCTTCATGACAGTTAATGCTAATAGAACTCATTAAAGTAACACTTCATATTTTCAGGTACTTTGTAAAGAACTTTTTAAACAAATGAATTTATAATTTAATCTGCACAACAACCTCAAGAGGTGTGACTTCTTCCCCGCCGCCCCCCAAGGCAGGCTGAATAAGTGTGATGTGTTTCCCATCTCTCAGTTAGTAGGGGACAGAGGCCAGGCACAAACTCCTGTCTTCTAACTTTGGGTCCTAGTCCTTTTATATGACACATCCTTCTGCCCCTACCTAGACTGCACCGCTCAAGGCAGTAGACAGTTGCCGTATGTGTCTATTTAAACTTAAGTTCCAACAAATGAAATTAAGCTTAAAATTCCTCAGTCACACTAGCCATTTAAGCACTCAGTGACTGCAGATGGCTGTTCTTGACCATTTTGGACACTGCAGAGGTGGGGCATTCCCATTCGATAGGGTTACACTAGACTCTAACTTCCGAAAGGGCCGAGACGGCCTCTGTCTCGATCATCATTATAACCCCTCTGTCTGGCCCAGGGACTGACGTATCTAGGGAGTCAGAAACTAGAGTTGTTGGGTTTTCCCAACAGAGAATGGGCCCATGCCTAAAAAAAAACCTGTACGGCATCAATTCATTAAGTCAAAGCCCTAGTTATGGATGTATATGAGAGGTTACAGAATCTCCTGAGCAGGCTCCAGACAGAAGAGATGGAGGCGGCTGGTTCTTATGACCTGAGGTCTCCGTTTGTCCACAGGATTTCACATAAAATATCCCCACCCTTCCCTGTAGTTACAAGGCCTCTAACATCCTTATAGTGCGTGTAGCAGTTGCCATGCGTGTTTACATTGCTGTGGCCAGCCCCATCCTCTTACAGAGGACCGCTGTGGCCTTGACTTGCTGAGTGCAGCGTGCAGAAGGCATGAGGCTGAGCCGTCTCCTGAGGTCCCTCCTTGGATGGAGCCCTCCTGCCGACCCAGGGGCGTACCTACAAAGCTACACATTATGCCTCCTTTCAAGGACCCTTCTCCTAGTATTCCTATGGACAGCGTTTTTCCTATAATGTGAACGGTACTCCCCTTGATGGATCTGAAACCAATTAGAATACATCTACGTCCAAAACAAAGGAGAGAGAAAGAAACACAAGAGATGCCAAGTTACACTCCAAGGCAGTACAGTGGTCTTATATTGTTCTGGCACTCTCATACCCAGCTTGGGGTGGGCTGGCACTGATGCGCCAGGTCAGGACAGAGACAGCTGGTCCATGGGTCACCTCAGGAAATACCAGCCTGGGGGAAGGACAGGAGACCACTTTCCTGTTTTTCTCATTTGTGTTTTTTTTTAATTGGAGTATAGTTGATTTACCACATTGTGTTAATTTCTGCTATGCATACTAAGTTGCTTCAGTCATGTCCAACCCTTGTGACCCCGTGGACTGCAGCCCACCAGGTTCCTCTGTCCATGGGATTCTCCAGGCAAGGATACTGGAGTGGGTTGTCATTCCCTTCTCCAGGGGGTCTTCCAGACCCAGGATCGATTCTGTGCCTCTAACAACTCCTGCATGGACAGTTGGGTTCTTGACCACGAGCGCCACCTGGGATGCCCCAATTGTTGCTATACAGAAAAGTGATTCTGGGTTCTTTGGTAGCTCAGATGGTGAAGAATTTGCCTGCAATGAGGAGACCTAGGTTTGATCCCTGGGTCAGGAAGAACCCCTGGAGAAGGGAATGGCAACCCACTCCAGTATTCTTACCTTGAATTCCATGGACAGAGGAGCCTAGTGGGCTACAGTCCATGGGGTCGCAAAGAGTCAGACACGACTGAGCAGCTTTAATTTTTTCATTTCATTTTCCATTCTAGTTTATTTCAGGACATTGAATATAGTTCCCTGTGCTGTAGACACAGTAAGGCCTTGTTGTTCGTCCATCCTATGTACAGTAGTTTGTGTCTGCTAATCCCGAACTCTGAGTTCATTCCTCCACACTCCCCTTCCCCCGGCAACCACAAGTCTATTCTTCATATCTGTGAACCTGTGTCTGTTTCATAGGTAAGTTCGCTTGTGTCATATTTTAGACTCCATGCATAAATGATGTCCTGTGATATCTGTCCTTCTCTCTCTGACTTACTTCACCTAGAATGATAATCTCTAGGTTCAGCTATGTTACTGCAAATGACAATACATCATTCTTTAATGGCTGAGTAGTAGTCCATTGTATATATGGACTATATCTTCTTTATCTATTCATCTATCGATAGACATTTAGGTTGAAGATACCACTTTTCAAAGTCTTCTGCCTCTGTCCTGCTGAAACAAGTTTGCATTCACATCAGACACCTGTATCACACTTTACTGCATGATAGATCCTTTTGGATGTGTCATTTTATTTACCCCTCTCAACAGCAGCTAACCCATCCATTAAGAGGTATTGGATTAGAGTGGTTTAATGATAAAAACAGAATAAACTGTTTTTATTAATAAAAGTAGTTTTATTTTACTTTTTTTTTAATAATAAAAACAGAATAAACTGTGCAGAAAAGCAGGAATTCTCCCACTCATCCCCTTTTTGCCATGAGGTTTTGATAGTTATCAAAAGGGAGAAAGGTTTGTGTACTCACACATTTGCATAGTAGCTTCAAACTACAATATGATTAAAAATCGTTGCATTTGGATTTATTACAAAATCATACATGCTATACACTCTGCAGGTGATTTATAAGATAGAGTGATTTTGACTATTCGTGCTGTATCCCCTCAGGCCCTGACTGTAGGATTTAATCCCACATAAAATGCAGGTCCACCTTTGGTGTGAAATATGCCACGATCGCTACAGCAGGGCTTTCAGGAGGATGAGTCCAGACATGTCTCCCCACACCCTCTGCCACCGGGCAGGCTTTCCCCAGCCCCCATTCTCCCCTACATCCGGTGTCTTTCCTCCTTTATAGCCTTCTCTCCTGCAGTCAGCTCCAAACCTGCCTTCCAGCTGCAGAGACTCATTCTGAGTTTCTTATAACAACCCTCGAATCCTGTGTTGCCTAGTATTTTCAGCCAAAGTGGGAGGGGGTAGTGGGGCGAATCGGGAGATCGGGATTGACACATACACCCTACTGTGTGTGCTCCAGGCTCCTCAGTCCATGGGATTCTCCAGGCATGAATACTGGAGTGGGTTGCCATTTCCTTCTCCAGGGGATCTTCCCGACCCAAGGATTGAACCCAGGTCTCCCGCATTGTAGGCAGACGCTTTGCCATTGTAGGCAGACGCTTTGCCATCTGAGCTACCAGGGTGAACCCAGGTCTCCCGCATTGTAGGCAGACGCTTTGCCGTTGTAGGCAGACGCTTTGCCATCTGAGCTACCAGGGAAGCCCCACTTTTGGCTGAAACCTGTCTCAACTATGGAGCAGAGGAGGACAGACCTGGTCCCCTGCCCCAGTGAGCACATGGTAAGTTAGGGTGTTAAGAGGGAACAGACCCTCACCTGCCAAAAGGGTGAAATGAAGGGGAAACTTCTTGGAGGAGGTGACAGGGGATGATCTTGGGAGATGTGCAGAAGCACATCTTCTGGAGAGGAGGGGAAACGGTTTCAAGCAGAGAGAAGAGGAGGTCCTGAGGCTACTTTGAGAAGGTTCCATGTGCTCAGGGAACGTCTGATCACTGAGTGGCCAGAACCGCAGGGAGAATGTTGAGGGGGGAGCAGAAGGACTCCACAGGATGGGGTGATGGAGACACAGGTAGACCCGCAGGACATTAGGGGACAACAGAGGGCCTCAAGCGGGATAAGCCGTGGCCACCTGGGAGTTTCAGGGCGACCGTGACGTAGTGATGTGGAGGGTGAACAAAAGGACTCAGTAACTGACAGAGGGAGCAAAGTAGGAGGTTGGAGGAACAGTCCAGACGAGATTCTAAGCATCTCCAAGGCAGTGGAACTGGGGCTCCCAAGGGGAGCCGTTTCAGAGACTGAGATGGAATCATCAGGATTAGGAATGAGCAGAAAGGGGGAAGGTGATCGAGCTGGACTCTGAGGTTTCCAGGTTGGGGCACAAAATTCAGGGCTCTTCAAGGGTATAGAATTTAGTTC